TAAAAAATGTTAGTTAAAAACAACTAGTTTAATAAACCTAATGTTTTTTAGTTTTCAGAAAATATCTGAACTAAATAACTTCCATTTATTTTAAAATCTCAGTCTACAGTTAGAGCTCTGAAACTTTCATTGCTAGATAACAGAGTACAAGAAATGAGATAACTGATTCATTGTGTAAAAGAGGTCATCTTATAAAGGGGAAAGCAAAAAATTAAGTTACCAAAAATCATAATATAGGTTAAACATATTTAAGTATTTTAGGAACTAAAATCAAATGCAAAAAATTCAAGTCCCATTTGATGGTGCAAACAATTACAGGAAATACAGCCCATTTGACATTCAGGGAAAAAAAAAAAACCCTCTTCCAACAGGTTTGCACTAGTCTGATAAAAACAATCCAACTTCCTACTTATGATGTTCATTTTAAACATCCTTGTTAATCTACCAAAGAATTTTACACGAGTTAAAAAGGCTACAACTTGAAAAATACTTGAAGATTGGCTTTCTGCTTAGCTTACGAGTTTTACAGTGACGTTGATTTTTTTTAAAAGGCCACATTCATACCAGCCACTATAACCTTTAAGCTGACGATAAATTGCAAAAAAGCTACGCCAGTGGTCTTCAATCAAAATTCAGCACAAGGTATCAATATCTTCAAAGACCAACCTTTAGCGAAATGTACAGAAAATGAAAATGTTTTGGATAACACAGTGCAGAGTAGAATGGGCTGTTTTACAAGTCACTTAACTGTTAAGCGTTCTAACAACGAAGGAGAGTAAAAAGAGTAACAAAAGCCCAGACAATCATATAGCAGAACAGCTGGTTCAATTTCTGCTTCTGATTTAACACAGGAACTACAAGATCACATGCACTCCATTTGTTGTCTTTAGATAAGGCCATGTGTAAAAAATGTTCATAAGAAAACTTCTATAATCCAGTATCAGTAGAGAAAATGAATTTTACTTAGAAAGTATTTTTTTAAAATCAAGGTTATTTTAAAGTGCTTGTTACACTACTTTAATTAGGATGGTAGAGAATAAATAAAAGACTCAGTTGCTAATCCTTCAGAAATGTTATGCCTCCAAAAGCATGGATAACAGAATCTTTACAAAAGGTAACATGTTTTGTGGTACCTTTATTTAAAAAAGCTACACACATAAAAGCACCTAGAACAGAAACTACTACTATTAAAATAGAAATGTGATCTATTGAAAAGTAAATCAAATATATTTCTGCTGATGAAAAATAAACTAACTTTTTTCTTCACTTTTCTATTCCTGCCTTCCTAAAAGCTAATTAATATTTGGTATTATTTTGAGAGCTACTTTTAAGGAACCTTAAAATACTGTAATTATATAAAAAAACCTTTAAGTGCTCTAAATAAAATCTTGGGTGCCCTAAAAAGCTAATCAAATTAAGGTAAATCTAATATTGTGTCTGGTTCAAAATATTTAACTTGCTTTTTTTGTTGCCACAGCACACAGTTTTACAGAGCTTTTTTCGTAGCCCACCGTGACTTGTATGTAAAAAGTTGGGTAAACTTTCCTACGATACATGCTTTTTTATGAAACATGTCACATTAACACTGCATATAAGCTCATAATTATTTAAATACAGAGATCTACGATATTTAAGCACATTTCCTCAAATGTAATTCTTGACTGTCTTCTAGTAAAGTTGCTAATTTTAGTATTAAGGTTAGTAAAGATCTTACAAATCTGTCCTCATCTTTCTCACAAAAAGAAATAAATGGCGCCCCTTAGTGTTCACATTTTGAAACCTTCAGATAATTCACAAGTTTTACAAGCAACTTTTTTTTTTTTTTTTTTGGGACATTCCAGAAAGTTTTCTGCCTCCACAATTCTTCCATCCAAACATCAACACAATCAGGAAAAAGCAGGAAGCCTTAAAGAAGAAGCAGAATGCTTCCTGAGCTATTCAGAAACAAAAAACGAACTGTTTGGAAAAAAAGAAGGTGGAAAACAGTCTGAATGTTCAGTAACGTTTCTAAACTTCCACCACAGTCCTCCATTATTTTGGATTTAGGAAACTTTAGTAAAAACACGATTTCCAGGGCTTCCAGGATTCAACCACCTTCAAAAGATGCAGTGACCTCATGTATTCCTCTGTTTCAATATCCTTTTGACAACAGCGATGTTTCTCTCTTTTGTTCTCCTGACCAACGAACTTAGTAGGGCTCCCCCCACGCAGATCATATAACCCTGAAAGACTTCAGGAATTTAAAATCCATCACCAGGCCTCTGTGAAGTTCATTTATGTTTAAATGTGTCTTCTTCATCCAGTTTCTTCTTGATTTTACATCCCTTGCTTTTAAATCTTTCTGAAGAATATTTCACAGTGACCATAACTATATATTTTAAGTGGTTTTCCTTCTGAAGACCACCTTTATCCACTCAAGGTTTATAAAAGCAATCCTCCAAAACACATGAATAAAAACTTCAAGTAAATACTGTTTACTAGAGTCCAGTTGTACCAATTCTTGTTTTTCACCTCAGTCATTTCCTTCAAAAAGGTAATATTTTTCAAAGTATGTTATTTTCTGTTGCAATATGGTCAGTCTCATTTTTACGTATCGTCTTTGAATGTTTTGTCATATCAAATATACAAACAGTTTTCTCCTTTGGGGTCAATCGCTTGATAAAAGTTTTCTTTCAAATAAGGATTTGACTACAGGCAGAAATCCTTCCCAATAAAATCTCAAAATCCTGTAGTTTATGTTAAAACTCCCCAGAATCAAAGTTGAAACTCTTTCAATGGCTTTCATTTCTACAGATTAAAAAACTAACTATTGTAATTATATTAAACAGATTTCCATATTTCCCCACCAAGCTGAATGGCTGTATATTCAGTTGAGTACTACTGTTTGTGCACTCACAATGAAAAAAAAACGGGCACCCCACACATACAAAGAACCTAAAAAAGCTCTAAATACAAGGAGACTACAATAAAGCAGATACAAAAAGGGGAGAGGCAGAGAACGTGTGATGTTTCAAACATTTGACATTATTTTAAAATGACATCACTGATTTGTAAACACTTTCCGTGAAAATTAATTAACTGAGAACGAATGTGGCCCTGAATAAGCGGCCTCTCTGCACCCTTTGCAAGCAGGAGTTGGGTGCGGGGATCAGAGAAGACGGCGCCCTGGCTGGAGGCAGCAGCGGACATTTGGCAGCAGAAGAGAATTTATTTCGTAATTCTTTTCAGTAAGTATAGTCACACGTAGGAATCTCTACGTTAGTTTCCTTAAAATATAAGGACAACCGGAATAAGCATTTGCTCCCTTCGCACACGCTAGGAAATTTTTAAATTATTACTTTGTGACCAGTTTGGGGTGGGGTAATGCGGGGGCCCATGCCAGAGCAGGGAAGGGAGCTCAGCCATTCCGGTGTTAGTCGTTCAAGTTCAAACAGTTTCCAGAACAGCCAAATCCCGACACCAAACACCCTTCCCTTGCTCCAGGCCCACAAAATGAATCCATTAACTCTCCCATAAAACACGCCACACAGGACCCTTCTCTCCTTCCAATACTTTCCAGCGTGATCCAGTAGTCACACAGCTTGCAAACGACCCTCCCGGCCCCCTAAACCACATTCCTGAGCGCCGTTCCCCTTCCTGTTCGCTCCCTCTCCTCCATAAGGTGGTGGTTCCCCTTCCCCCTGTTTAACGGACGATGTGCAGAGAATCGGGGGAGGGGGGGAACCACACAAGGCGAGGACCCCCCCCCCCCGCACACCAAATCTCTGCTGTTACAGGCAGGAACTGGGGGTATCCGGCTGCCCCTTTGTTTCATGGATTGAAATGGGAGGCTAAGACCGAATCTAGAGACACCCGTGAAGAGAAGGAGCCAGTGAAGAGCCCACCCGCGGCTCTCGGGGCAGGAATGGAGGACGGAGACGGATCCAGGGAGCAGCGCGGAGGCCCGGGGAGGGGGGAGTGTTTTACCTTCGTCCAGCAGCCTCTCGAGGTGGTTGAAGATCCCGCAGAAGTTGGGGAGGCTGCTCATCAGCTTCTTGTCGTTCATCAGCTGCATCAGGTAATCGGGGCTCGGCTTCGGCTTCTCCTTGGCTTCCATTTCCCCAACCATATTCCAATCGCGCAGAGCCCGCGAGCGTCCGCCGCGCAGCCCAACCACGGCACGGGGCGCCCGGCCGGATCCGGGCGGGGAGGGGGGGCTCCCCGAGGAGGAAGAAGATTCAATCAGCAACAAACCAACCCGTCGCCACCGCCGGGTCCCGGGTGCAGAAAAGAGGAAACTCGGTCTCCCCCCGTTCCCCGGCTCCGTGCGCCCCCGGCCGGCCGGCGCAGTCCTCCAGGTTCCCCCTCCTCCCGCGCGCACACCCGGAGCCCAGCTCCTCTCCGCGGCACTGCCCCCGTCTGCTCTCCGCGGCGGGGGAGGGGGCGGGCAGGCGCTGCTGCTGCTTCTTCCCGACGAGCCGCTGCCGCCGCCGCTTGTTTGCTCCCGGCCGCTGCTGGTGCCTCCGCCGCCGCGCTGCGCCCGGTGTCCTCACCGCCTCTCTCCCGCTGCCTGTGGCTGGTGAGTCTCAGCCCCGCCGCCGCTGCCGCCTCCTCCTCCTCACTTCTCCTCAGTTCGCTCCGGAGTTCGTCTTAGTCCAGGCTGCGCTGTTAGCAGCAGTGGCGGCGGCAGCGGAGGGGGCAGGACACGCGGGGGGAGGGGAAGGGACACGCCGGGGGGAGGGAGCAGGGGCGGGGCGGCCGTTAGGCAGGGAGCAGCGGCGGCGCCACTTGGCGGAGCTAACCCGCGCCTCACTCGCACTCTCGGGACTTGGGGGGGCGGAGGGCGCAGCTCCCCAGGGAAGCTCTGACGGGAATAAGGAGAGGCGGAGCCAGCCGGCCACTCCGCGGCTCTTACCCCCCCCCCTCTCTCTCACTCACTCACTCACTCACTCACACTCACTCACACACACACACACACACACACACACACGAAGAGCTACGTGCGGCGCACGCGGAGAGGCTCGCGCTGTTCCCCCTGCGCGCGGCCCCGGCTCGCCTCTTAAAGGCACGCATGAAAAACTCTTCAAAACAACAAACTCCTGTTACTTCATTCCGCGAGGAGGCGGGGCTGAGTCACGTGCTGCGGGGGGAAAGCCCCGCCGATGCGCAGGCGCGACCGTGATCCAAGGGTGTTGTCGCCTTGGCGCCGCCTCCTGCTGAGGAATGGGGAGGGGATGCGTGGCGCGTCATGGGGGAGGGGGAGGGATACTCAGTGCGCGAGGAGTAACGGCCAACGTTTACAACGGCCGCAGTGGGGGAGATGGAAACGCCGCCAGCCGAGGCGGTGCGGGGCCAATGGGAGGCTCCACCGCCTCCGGCAGTCACGGACGGGAAGAGGGAAACGCCCCCCCAGGAGCGGCCCTTCAGGCGACCCCGCCCCCTTGCACACACAGACCCCGGGCGGCGCGGAGCCGGCGGCCTTGTTTTCCCCTGGCGCTCAGCCGCGTGACGGGCGCTATGTGACAGCGGCTGAGGGGAGCGCCAGGCTCGGGGCCAGGCCGGCGGGGGGGGCTCGTTTACTGCCCCGACCTGGACACGCAGCCCGGCTGCCTGGGCCCCAGCTCGGCACGCACACACCCCGCGGCGCAGCCCACACGGCTCTTCGGGCGTGTCAGCCCTGGTGGTTTCTGGGCTGCGCAGGGCTGCTGGGTGCATCGCAGTGTCCTGCCCGCCGCCCCAAAGGCCCCGACCAGGGCGTTTCTCATTGAAGCGAGAGCAGTGAATCGGAGGACGAGCGGGGCGGGAGGGGGCAGCTATAAAGCAATACCCAACCCTGAAGGGCCATAGGGTCTAGTACCAAGTACTAGAAGCTGAGGGCGCTCAGTATTTCATTTGATGATGGTAACGTTAAGTGATAAGATCAATAAACAAAGGGCGTCCTTTGTGATTTGCTCAACAGGAGTAAAATGACTTAGGGCATGTCTGCACTACGAACTTAAATAGCCCTATATTAAGTTGACTTACAGCCATTGCAGTAATTACTGCAGTTGATACCCACGCTGCTCAACTTTTGTTGATGGTGCGCATCCTCACCAGGAGCACTTCCACTGGCTTAAGAGGGCCAGTGTGGGGCACTGAGAGCCCAGGCTCTCTCAGCTCTGTGCCACTCCCTACCAGGAACTTGGCTGCCCCCAATCCCTCTGGGCACCCGGCGGGGAGCTCTGTGGCCAACACCTGGGCAGCTGTTGGGGTCCCTGTAGGGAATGGTGAGCCTCGGTGCAGGTGGGCAGGCGGTAGCCTGCCAGGGAGGTGGGACAGCCAAGCTTTTGGTAGAGCCCCCACCAGCCCCAGGGTGACAACCCAAGCTGGGTGGCTTTCTTGTCAGTTTCATGGTTCTGGGCATGTAGCTGTGAAATTGACAAGAATGACAGTCAACAGCCAATGTAAATATCCCACAGTCTCAACCCTGACATTGTGTTGCCCTAACTACACCGATGTAAGCCCTGTGCCTCTCATGGAGGTGGAGTTACTAGGCCTTCCCTCGACCTAACTGTACTGTAGACCAGGCCTCAAAAAAAAATGGTTGAAAATAGCAATAATTAAAATCAGGTGTCAAGAGTAATTTTTTCCATGGCAGAGTAAATGAAAACATTGTTTATGTTTTCAAATAAATAGGTGAGCATTATTTGTGGGTATTTCCCCTGTTCCTCTATGAGCAACAGTATCACATACCCAAAACTTCCTCACTCACTTTCCTGGTTCTTCTTTGATTTTGTTAGTCATCAAACTTTTAATGAAATTTTAACATATTTAACATATTACAGTTTATAGTCTGCGTGATGCTTTTTTTTTAATAAAATGAACCAAGTAAAGGAATTTGTTCATTTGCCACTTTAGAAGTGATGTTATAGTTCATGTGATTGAAGTCAGTTGATCTTCAGCCACATGCCTCAGATAAGACTGACCTGTGTTGTAAAGTGTTTTGATATCTATAAGTGAAGAACAAAGAGCTAGGTATTACTGTTGATTTTTCAAGTATTATAGTAGTTCAAATTCTGTATATACAAATCAGTGCTCTTTTGAAAATAAAATATTTTAAATTTGTTATGCTAAAAAAAATGCAACCAAAACTAAACTAAGCAAAATCATATTTTGAGTCAGTCTTCTTGGGCTAACTAGTGCTTGATTACTTATTGGTTATTGTTTAGTATTGACAGAATGTTTAGGGAAAAGCAGAGTTGTCAGTTTAGCAAAACTAATTAAAATGACTGTATTTTTAAGTGTTTTCTATATCTTCCTATTGTAAATACATATATTTTGGAGTTAGAGAGTACCTCATCTCATTTCTGTATGAGGGTTTGGTTTGCACACCAGTACTTTGAGCAAAGCTGAGATCAGGTAAGTCCAAATTGTGGATTTTTACTTCCTCTATATTTGGAAAATAATAAACACATACAGTATTAGTTTTGTTCCCAAAGAGGGAGTAGCAGTATTATGAATTAGTTTCTTAAATTAGATTCTTACTCTTCCAATACCTTTGTAGCAACATTTAAAGCATGGTGTTGAAGATGTAAAAACACTGCCTCAGTTGAACAGCAAGGTTACAGGCTTAATTTTTTTCTTCTGGCTCTTGATTTTTTTGGCTGTTTCTCAAATGTACATGAGTTGTTGACATCTTGACCAAGTACATTTTAGGGATATGTAACAGAACAGGGTTCGTCACATACAAACAAGTCAGCGTTGAGGCAACATTTGTGTCCTTTCTGGGTGCCACGGTTTAGTTTTTTAATCTGGTGTGTGTACATTGTGTTCCTATATTTAAGTCATTCTTAGGGGTATGTTCTCAAATTGAAAAAATAATGCAATTATTAAGGACATCAGTGAGCAAAGACACCCCCCCCCTTTTTTTACTTTAATAATTTAGTGAATTTAAAGCTTGTATCAAATTTACAATTCTGGAGAGCTAATAGGGGAAGCATGGAAGAAGTAATGTGAGCAACTCCATACTGCCTCTGTGTCATAACTATGATCTGAAGGATCAGATGTAGAGAGATGGTAGATCAATCTCCATGAGCCAGTTGTTGGCATTTCTACTGTGACCATCAATGTAGCTAGGCGCAAATTACTCCAAAGATGCCCTTTATTTTTAATGTCTATTACACAGAGCATATCTGTACAAAAGCTGTGTTGTGACAATAACTCATAATAACTATCAGTCAGCAGCCTTAGATAATCAAATGAAGATAACAGTTCTCTCTCAGAATCATACTCAGAATCATACCCTCATCCTTCCCCAAAAACTCTATCGGATATATGGGTTTTGCAACATGCCTGAACAGTCATCAAATTTGGGCTGCTTCAGCTTGGGGGAGTGGATGAGAGTAGGTTTCAAAGTCCTAGGGCCCTCATCCAGAACAGCCTGCCCAAACCATTTTCTTGATTGTGGCAAGGGATATGATCTAACTCAATGGTTCTCAACCAGGGGTCCGGGGCCCACTGGGGGGCTATGAGCAGGTTTCAGGGGCGTCTGCCAAAATGAACCAGAGAGCAGGGCCGGCGTTCGACTTACTGGCCCCAGGGCAGAAAGATGAAGCCCAAGCCCTGCTGCCCGGGGCTGAAGACCAATCCTAAGCCCGGCTGCCCAGTGTTGAAGCCCAAGCCTGAGCAACTTAGCTTTGCGGGACTGCCTGTGGTGTCGGACCACAGGGCATTGCCCTGTTTGCTACCCCGTGATGCTGGCCCTGGCTTTTAATCTACTGGATATGCAGGAAAACAGTTGTGGCAAAGGTGGGCCAAGGAGTTTTTAACAGCATGTGGGGGGCATGCCTCAAAGAAAAACATAGAGAACCCCTGATCTAACTTGAGCATCTCTGACTACATCTTTGGCAGTCTGTCACAAGGATAATCTCTCAGGTAGGTCTCAGGCCATTTAGGGCTTTGTAGGCCATAACCAGCACCTTAACCTCTACATGGACATCAGTAGGTATCCAGTCCCCATCCTGAAGAATTGATGTCTTGTGCGACAAGCAAGCTGCCACATTTTGCATAAGCTTGTCTACAAACGGTTTTAAAGGTATAGCCCCCATAGAGCATATTGCAGTAGTCTAAGTTTGAGGTAACAGACATAAATAACACTGGCAATGTCTGTATCTGAAAGAAAAGGCTTGGCACAGATCATAAAAGCCCAACTTGGTTACTGCTGTAATGGGATCATTGACAGCAGCTGCAAGGGGCGGTGTTTAATATCACTCCCAAGCTGCAAACTCTGATAACCAATGCTAGATCACTCTTTCAGTCAGAGGGGTTGATATTACCTCCACTGTCTTTTCCAGCTGCTTCCAAGAGCCTGTCATCACCACCCTTCTGTTGTCTGAGTTCTGCTTCAGCCAGCTCTCTCTCATTCATATCCCAGTGTCAGCTAGACATGTGGCTGAGGTACTGAGCCACATCACTGTCAGAGTTGGATGAGAGAGATATCTAACTGGGTGGCATAAACAAAGATACTAAATACTGCGTCTTTCAACCTTAACTTTTTCTGTTTAAGAATAGATTGAGATTACCCAGCCTGATTAAACATATTCATTCTGCTGCTTGACTCACATTCTACTGGCAGCAGAGTTTAAAGAGTAAACATTAACTTTGGTACAATATTTTAAAATTTCTCTTTGATTAGAAGATTGAAATATATAGGTATGTATATATGTTGACTTGCAGTGAGGGGCTGTGAAGTGCTGCCTGTATTTCATGCTGTATAATACACAACAGTTCTTGCCTCCAAAAAGTTTGTATTCTAAAAAGACAAATAATGCCACATCAGGAGACCAACAATAAGGTTCTGCATTTTTTAAAGCTTTTTGGTAATGAGCTGGTGTCATTTTTGTTAATGTGGTTTGGTAATAAACTATCCTGTCAGTCTGAAAGAGTGACACAGAATATGGTTAAGTTTTTCAGCCATCTGAAGGTCTTGTTCCTTTTCAAAGAATAGTTCTCTATAAATTCCCAAGTTCAGTAAATACAGAATGTTTTATTGCATACTTTACAAAAGATTGAGGAGGAAAGAGTAACCGTTCACTCACTTGCTTGGCATCCCTTACCCCTCATAACCCCAGATGTCCCCTCTGCTGTAGGAGGCAAGGAAAGGCAGAAACAATAAAGGTCAGAAGAGTCTCAAAAATTGTGGAAGGCAGAACACCACTCAACAGCATTTTGCCAAAGCTAAGGGGAAGCCAGGCACCACTGTGGCCATTGGTTCCCCACATAGAGGTTCTTATGCTTGGGAGTTTGCCTACATACCTTCATGTTCTAATGTGTTCAGAGGCCTATGTCCTGCCTTAATAGGGGTTCACATCTTTCCTTTAAAGCTGAGCAGCTGGAACAGTGTCTAATCTCTCAGAAATCTCAGGAAAGTGGAAAAGTTCACTGTTTTTCTATGAGAGAGGAAGATGGGGTCTTGGTTGTTCTGGAAGTATCTGACATTCTTTTCTTTGTCTTCCTCACCCTTCTACCCACAGATTTTCCATTGAACTTGGGAATTATCTACTGGGGTATATCAGCCACATAGTTTGTAGCTCTCATATCCCCTAGGGTCCTTTTCCCAGTTTCCACAGCACTTCAAAGGCCATGAAACATTTTTTACTAAAGTACTTTAAGATGTTAAATGAAAGGCACTATACAAGTGCAAAAATTACTTAGACTTATACATACCTCAGGATCTTTTCTGACGGTTCAAGAAGCATTCCTAAGTACGTGCCACTTGTATTGGTACTTCTGCACTCAGATTCAGCCTGAGATACTTGTTTGGCTATCACTGGACATCTAAGGAGGGATCACTGCAGTCAGTAAACAGGATCTTGGGCTCAACGCCAAAAAGTGGCAGCTGCCGTGGCTCAGAAGAAAGCCAGATCACTTGGATTACAAAACAATCCAATTACTTGATACAAAATCATGTGACCCTATTTAGCTAATGGTTTGCTACTCATCAGTTTAAAATAAAGTGGTTTAGTGGAGGGGAAGTGTACAAGACACGTTCCTATCTAAGACAATTGGATTGTGATTGGAAACTGGTAGTATATACACATATTGGGAGCTATAACACTACAGACCTGTATATGCACCAAGGAGTTCTGAGGAGATGGTACTCACAAGCATGAACTTGGTGTAGTTTGGAGTAGCATTAAGACCTTTTGATATCTTTGAATTTTCCTCTGTTTTATGAGATGGCCTGGGATGCATCTCCATGCTCTGTGTGTCCCTAAGTCTCTGACTGCCAGACTCTGGGACTGGACGACAGGATGGATCACTCAATAATTGTCTTGTTCTGTTCTTTCCCTCTGAAGCATATGGCATTGGCCACTGCTAGAAGACAGGATAGGGGGCTAGATGGCCATTCTTATGTTCTTATATCTGTAATTTTTTAAAAGAAAAAATTAAAACAATACCTGCTATACGTCTGACTCCATGGTTTGTAAGATTCTGACAAGAGGTAGCAGAAACACTTGACTTTTAAAATTTTGCTTTCAGTAGTTATGAACAGTGAGTTGGTTGCCAGAATTGTCTTTTTACCAAAAAAAGGGATATCTACTGAATTTAAAGGAACTGCTCATTTGAATAAAGTTTTGCAGCATCAGACTAAGTGCCTATATACCTTTTGTGCTATAAGAAAAAAATCAAAGATAAACTTAGTTAATGTGCATGGTGTAGTCCCATTGATTAAAATGCTATCATGTTGTCTTGTTTTCCACAAGCATAATAGTTGTTTTAGAGCTGTGAATTTGCCTTAAGTATATGTAATGGGGAAAATGGACTGTAAATTAGAAGTCCATCAAGAAGTTCTTTTGTCTAAGCATAAGAGCAAAGCCAAATGTGTAATCATCAGGACTTCAAGCTGGAAGTATGCCCCAGATACTAGATATATTGCTGTTTAGTGTAGCAATCACTATAGGTCAAGCTAGACTGTCATTTCCAATGTCATTTCCATTCTGACCCTCCTTGTTCCTCCAGTTCTCATAATGTTTTCTCAACAAATTCCTTTCAGATTGGAATTTTCCATGGTTGCTCTAAACCCAGAGGTTAGAGGCATTTTTTTTGAAAGCTTGAACCAAACCAGTGGCGCTGTGTTTGAGTTGTGAGGGTGGGAAGAGGAGAGAGAAGCAAACACTTCCCATATGTTCAAGAGACTTTTTTGCTTGTACAACTCAAAACTACCTGAATCTAAAGCTTCAGACTTGTTTTATATATGTGAAAAGTTCTTATGTATGTGTATGATAATTTAAGTGTGTTTAAAAGTTCACTGAAAAGACAAAATTTGTTAAGGCCACTTAATCTCATTGGCAAAGGTGGCAAGCTAAGCAGCTTTATATCTAGAATTTACAAGATCACTCCTGAATTAAGGATAACTGTTAGAACTCTAGCACTGGAAGTTTCTCAGGGAGAGAGCTACTAGTATGGTATTTATTAAGAATATGATATTTGGATCCACCAGAGTTTCGTGGGCTGTCTTCTATAGACTTTTGTATGTGAAGTTTGCTAGCATGAAAAGCTATGTACTGCTAATACTGACATTTTTTGAAAAACAATGAGCATATTAGGTTTTATTCTAAGCCCTGGTCTACAATACAGGGTTAGGTCGAATTTAAGCCGCGTTAGGTCGATTTTATAATGAATGCGTCTACACAGGCAACCCCATTCCGTCGACCTAAAGGGCTCTTAACATCGACTCCCTTCCGGCGAGGGGAGTAGTGCTAAAATCGCTGGGATGAATTTGGGGTGGTGCGGATGCAAATCAACATTATTGGCCTCCAGGAGCTATCCCAGAGTGCTCCAATGTGACTGCTCTGGACAGCACTTTCAAACTCCGATGCACTAGCCAGGTACACAGGAAAAGCCCCGGGAACTTTTGAATTTCATTTCCTGTTTGGTCAGCGTGGCGAGCTTAGCAGCACAGGTAATCATGCAGTCCCCCGAGAATCACAAATGAGCTCCAGCATGGAGCGAACGGGAGACACTGGATTTGATTGCTGTATGGGGAGAAGAATCTGTTCAGGCAGAACTCTGATCAAAAAGAAGAAATGCTAATATATATGCCAAAATCGCACAGGGCATGACAGACAGAGGCTACAACAGGGAGACACAGCAGTGCCGCGTGAAAGTCAAGGAGCTCAGGCAAGCCTACCAAAAGACAAAGGAGGCAAACGGTCAGTCTGGATCAGAGCCCCATATATGCTGCTTCTATGATCAGCGACATGGCATTCTAAGGGGGGAGCCTACCACTACCCCACCACTGTCCATGGACACCTGCAAGGGGGGAGTCTCACGCAACACAGAGGAGGATTTTGTGGATGAGGAGGAGGAAGAGGAGAATGAGCAGGCAAGTGGTGAATCCATTCTCCCCGGCAGCCAGGACCTTTTCCATTACCCTGGAGCCAATACCCTCCCAAGGCAGAATCCCCAACCCTGAAGGCAGAGAAGGCACCTCTGGTGAGTGCACATTTGTAACTACAGTACAGGGTTTAAAAGCAATAGTGTTTAATGTTTGATTTGCCCTGAAGATTTGGGATGCATTCGCAGCCAGTACAGCTACTGGAAAAGTCTGTTAACGTGTCTGGGGATGGAGCAGGAATCCTCCAGGGACATCTCCATGAAGCTCTCCTGGAGGTACTCTGAAAGCCTTTGCAGGAAGGTTCTGGGGAGGGCTGCCTTATTTCATCCTCCGTGGTAGGACACTTTACCACGCCAAGCCTAGTAGCAAGTAGTCTGGAATAATTGCAGCACAAAGCATGGCAGCGAATGGCCCTGAGTTTTGGTCGCATTCAAGCAACATTCGGTCTATATCTTTCTGTGTTAGCCTCAGGAGAGTGCTATCATTCATGGTCACCTGGCTGAAATAGGGGAATTTTTGTAAGGGAACAGTAAAAGGACCCCATTCAAGCTGGGCTGTTTGCGCTTGGCTAAAAAGGATCATCCCTGAAAATAGCCACGTGGCGGGGGGAGAGGTGAGGGGATCATCCCAAATAGCCATGCAAAGGGGTGGGGGGAGGTGTGTGCTGCACATCCACCCGAAAACCGCAGCCCCTCCTTTTAAATGGCAAACCCAACTGGCATTGGTTGCTATGGGAAAGGAGGGCGCTGCAGTTTGAAAACATTCCCACATGTTATGAAGGCATTAGAAGCCAAACCCGCGTACCCTTTGGCTTACCATGCCTGCCTGGAAACTGAATTCTGTTGCCCAGCCATGTGTGATGTGTCACCATACCGGCAGGTGCTCAGTATAAAAGGCAAAATGCGACATTGTACCTAAAGCACATGTGCTGTCTGCTGTGAATTGCTTGATTCACTGTGAAAGAGACTCCCTTTTGTTCTCAGAAATGTATCATCTTAAATTTTACTGTCCCTTTTTATCCCCCTGCAGGTGCAAATGTTTCTGTGCTCCCCCTATCATTTCCATTCCTGAGGATATCTCAGATTAGAAAGCGGAAAAAAACGCACTCACGATGACATGTTTTCTGAGCTGATGCAGTCCTCCCGCACTGATAGGTCACAGCTGAATGCATGGAGGCATTCAGTGGCAGAGTCCAGGAAAGCATTAAGTGAGCGCGATGAGAAGAGGCAGGATGCAATGCTGAGGCTAATGGGGGAGCAAACAGACATGCTCAGGTGTCTGGTGGAGCTGCAGGAAAGCCAATAAGAGCACAGACCGCCGCTGCATCCTCTGTACAACCGCCTGCCCTCCTTCCCAAGTTCCATATCCTCCTCTCCCAAGATTGCGCGGGGGGAGGCTCCAGGCACCCAGCAACTCCACTCCAGCGGATGGCCCAAGCAACAGAAGGCTGTCATTAAAACGGTTTTGATTTGTAGCGTAACTACAATAAGCAGTGTGGCCTTGTCCCTCCTTCTCCCTCATCCCACCCGGGCTACCTTATCAGTTATCTCCCTTTTTTTTTTTTTAATTAATAAAGAAAGAATGCATGGTTTCAAAACAATAGTGACTTTATTTCCTTTGCCAGCTGTGATCGAAGGGGGGAGGGTGATTGGCTTACAGGGAATTAAAATCAACAAAGGGGGCAGGTTTGTATCAAGGAGAAACACACACAACTGTCACACCGTAGCCTAGCCAGTCATGAAACTGGTTTTCAAAGCTTCTCTGATGTGCAGCGTGCCTAGCTGTGGTCTTTTAATCGCCTTGGTGTCTGGCTGTTCAAAATTGGCAGCCAGGCAATTTGCCTCAACCTCCCACCCCACCATAAATGTCTCCCCCTTACTCTCACAGATACTATGGAGTACAGAGCAAGCAGTAACAACAGTGGGAATATTGGTTGCGCTGAGGTCTAACCTAGTCAGCAAACCGCGCCAGCGAGCTTTTAAATATCCAAAGGCACATTCTACCACCGTTCTGCACTTGCTCAGTCTATTGTTGAACTGCTCCTACTACTGTCCAGGCTGCCTGTGTATAACTTTGTGAGCCATGGGAGCAAGGGTTAGCCTAGGTCTCCAAGGATAACTATTGGCATTTCAACATCCCCAACGGTAATTTTCTGGTCTGTGAAGTAAGTCCCTTCTTGCAGCTGCTCAGACAGCCCGGAGTTCCTCAAGATGTGAGTGTCATGCACCTTTCCCAGCCATCCCATGTTGATGTCGACGAAATGTCCCTTGTGATTCACCAGTGCTTGCAGCACCATTGAGAAGTACCCCTTGCGGTTTATGTACTGGTTGGCAAGGTGGTCCGGTGCCAAGATAGGGATATGCGTTCCATCTATCACCCCACCACAGTTAGGGAAACCCATTGCAGCAAAGCCATCCACTGTGATCTGCACATTTCCCCAGAGTCATTACCCTTGATAGCAGAACGTCAGTGATTGCATTGGCTACGTGATTGCATTGGCTAAATCTTCCAGCTCCTGCCTCCACTTCCTGAATTGAGGAAGAGGCTGTTCCCTATCTTCATACGCAGCAGAATGTTGATTATTGCATTTTCACAAATATTGTAATCCAACATCCAGTTTTGCAGGTTGCATATTACTGTTGTTTTTATTATTCACAAGGTAACGTTTAGTCTGATTAGGACAACACAGCCAGAGACCCAACAAGTCATAGCAGGAACTGTGAAGAAAAAACACTCCTCAGGCAAAGAGAGGGGGAATCCATTTTAATTAAAATACCACTATAAAGAATCAACAAAAAGTCACTACTGCAAGTCAGGTGTTGACTAGCCATTCCTAGGCAGTCTTCTTTCCTTCACTAAGGCCTGGAAAGTCCCTCACATTCACCAAGCTTGCAGACTATTTCTACACTCCCAAAAGACGGGAGGTAGGGGATATATAACTAGACTCAAAGCTTTCTCTAACCGCAAGGAAACCTTATGTTTCCTACCCTCTGACAAACAGGCATTAGTTCTTAGACCCCAGATAGCCAGTTTCTTCCAAGAATAACAGAGGGTCTTCATCCTAAAAAGCCAACTCCTCGCTTTTATTTCATGTTCCTCTCCTGATCATTTCTTTTAGGTGGAGCATTTCTGGAGATGTTGCACAGCTGATTTGCATTCATGGAGGGTTGTATTAATCCTTTCCTACCCTGCTCCATTGTGGATTTTATATATACCCATTGTCTCTTTGGCTATAGATAGGCTATCTGGAAACTCTACCAATAGTATTTGGGGGGAGGGATAGCTCAGTGGTTTGAGCATTGGCCTGCTAAACACAGGGTTGTGAGTTCAATCCTTGAGGGGCCACTTAGGGATCTGAGGCAAAAATTGGGGATTAGTACTGCTTGGAGCAGGGGATTGGACTCGATGACCTCCTGAGGTCTCTTCCAACCCTGAGATTCTATGATTATATTTCAGATTGGGTGGAGATCCCTGAGACAGATTGACAGCATTTAAGATGATTAGTAATGGAGTCCTTTAAAGAGGCCTATGTTAAAATAAAAAAAGGTTGAGGCCCAAATTCTCAAAGGTAATTAGGTACCTAGTTTCCCTTGAAATCAATGGGAGTTAAGTGCCTAAATAACTTTGAGGACCTCAGCCTGAAGGATTATGTTAGTGGGGAAAAGATTGGATTATGGAAATCAAGTAAATTTAAGAAAATAATTATCTTTTCTCTGCCAGCTGGTTTGGGTGTCAGCATGAGACCAACATAGTACATTAATCAAATTTTGAACCCAACTAACTTTCAAATGTAAACTATATTGTGACCAAGAAGGGCCATTTTACTTAAGGTATTGGTTTCTGTTTTGCCTTTTTATGTTTTGGTTGGAGAACCCATAAGGTGAAAGACAGCAATTTACATTAGGTCTCACCATTTGGCTCTCCTCTGGCCTTGCTCTCATAGTAACAAAAAAAGATGCTGTGACCTGGTAGTTTCTGATCAATAGCTCAGCCGTGTGTGAAGCCATTATTTTCACCATCTTACACAATTCAGAGGTCCTCAGATCATTTTAGAAAAGGAGATTGTCTAAACACAGTGACTGCACCTCCCAAGTTCTTACAAAATTTGTAATTCTTCCTCACTAATTTGATTTCTCAATAGCACATAAAGGAAGGATGTAGATATACTTACTTACACAATAAGCATCTTTCTATTTGTAAAAAGCTAAAATTTATAAAATGACATTTGTGGTGTAAGAGTGACTGCATTATAACAAGTGATTGGTATAATTCACTGAAATCTCAGGGACAAAAGCACTGTATAAATGCAATATTCATATTCATTCACAATATTTTTATTAGGGAAACTAAATATTTTTCTTATTTCTCACAGGAAGGTTATTGGGCCTCTTGTGAACACTACCACAAGATATAAATAGCATATGTTAGATGTAACAGACTTAATATTTATACATACACAGTGACACTAACTCTGATTTGGTGTTGCAGGAGAATCAGGCCCTTCATGTACAATTTTTCAGCTGTGTGTCAAATAATAGTAAAATGTAAGATTTTTCTGTATACTCTATAGAAAGGGAGATAGAACTTGATCCTAAGTCTTTTCCATCATTAACTATCATCCAAAAATTGTTTACATACATCCTGTTTGTCTATTTATGTCAATTACTAAATTCAGATCTCTGATGCACATGGAGAGGGAGCAAACAAGCAGGTAGGCCATTAGAGAAGCCAGCTACTCCCAAAATATGAGGCATTTTGCTTCTCCTCCAGAAAAATTACATGATGGAACAAAACATGCACATCCTTTTGCAACCTTTGCAAAGCTCCTCTGTTTGGTCATGCGCAGAAAACAGCCAAGCAGTGAGACTGAGATTGTATTGACAAGAACAAGATGAATGACCCCCTAGAGACCATGGGGTTTGTATGCTAGTTTCCACTAGCTTTTCATCTTTTTGTACCCCCTTTCAATTCACATGCAGATTAACTTAGACCAAGTCCTTACTAAATACTCTTTTTCACTTTAGTTTGGAAGGTAGACGGGAGGATCTAAATATTTATGAGGCTTTTTTTCTTCTGGTTTATGATGCACTCTTGTTGAATGTTGAGGAATTACGTTAATGAATGCATGCCTGCACACACAGACACAGAAACCAGGCAAAGGGGAAAAAAAAACACACAAAGCTTTGTTAGCTCTAATGTCGGCACTTACCAAACAGTTCCCATGGAAAAAAAAAAAGGCAAAGAAATTTAAAATCTGATGCCAGGAGAAAAATAAATTGTACAGCTGAACACAAAAGAGAGAACAAAGTTTCATCTTTGCTTTCCTCAGCTGCAAATGTAACTCTTGTTTCAACTCAGAAGAGATTTGAAATAAAACATGCTAATTGAAAAACGAAAGCTTTTCTAAAAAGCGTTAGCTAGTTTTGTGTGTTCAATAATGAAGTAAAGATTAAGCTTAAATATTGTACACACATAGTTTGTCTTAACACCAACAGCAAAAATATGACCCAGATTTTTTTCTTGTATGTAACGCTGTACAGGTGCCTTCATTTAGCTTTATATATATGATTAACACTGGTTTTAATTATTTATGCCAGTTAAAATTTTATTTCATTTTCCCTCCTTGTTTGATATGGTTATTTCTTTTTGGAAACTAAACCTACATTTAACCAAAAAAAAAAAAAAAGTCTACAATATACTTAAAATAAGACTTTGGCTAGAAGTAGTTGAACGTAAATCTCCTTTATATATGAATAATGCAAAAGTATAAATTAAGGAACCTTTATGGTTCTTTTTATAGAAGGAAGAATATATTGTATTAAAATACTAGAACTTGAAACATGGACATATTAACTGCTTTAATATCACATTGTCCAGAAGAGTCATCTTCTCAACCTTTAATCATATCTATCCTCCCCCTTCCCTTTTTTATTCTCGGGTGCACACATAGCTGTTGCAGACAAGACCCTGCTCATAAAAGTGGGACAGTAATTCTACAGTATCCTTTCATAATCATGCACCTGGACATGAGATTTTAAAAATGCTTTTGTACTATCATTTAAAAACGCATTCAACCAATGCCGGAATGTTAACTCATAACTCTTAAAGTGCAATAGAATTTCAGTGTCTAAGCTCTGTTATTCATATTTATAATATGTCTATCTGGATTTCATAAGAAGTTACCCTAATAAATATGCTCCTGTTTTTATTGTAGTTTGTTTTCAAGATGTCCAATTTCATACGTAATTGAATCCGATAAAGCCATCTACCTTTCATTTATTCTACAGCTATCATTTATGTCAGCTCCAAATATTGGCATTACTATTTTCAGCGACTTTGCCTATAGTACCTAAGGGTTGTGATAAGCAAAAATTCAGCTCAATAGATCCCAAAGTAGAGAAGTTTTAGATAGCCAAACCTGAATTCAGTATTGAGAAACAAAATTACCTTAAAACACTCATTCTGCTCTTTCACCCTATGGGTAAAAATCCCTTTTTTGATATATTGCCAATAGTGACCATGGGTTAATTTTTCAAAAACTATTGAAGTGCCAGCGTCACTTTT